ATGAATATAGATATAATGAAGATAACATTTTAACAATATAAAGGAAATGATATATTAAGATTATTATGAATATATTAGTTCTTAGTTTAATTAAGTGTCGTATTTGTTATTTATTGTTTTCTCGTGTATTTGGGAATTTTACAGTTAATAACATTGTTCCTTAGATTTACAATATTAAATTGAATGTCAATTGAAACATTTCCACTTACTACATTGTTTTGTTGTACGTCATATAGTAGAAAATTGTTTGTGTGGTGATGGAGTAAGGTTTATTTTCACAGAATGATGAAACAATTGATGTAAGGGAACACAGTGTATCGTTAATTTTACTTTGTAATTTAATGCACAGCACTTGCAGTAGCATGTTGAAGTATATTATTTCGTATACAAAGAAAATATATTTACCTCCTTAGTTCCTCCATCCTCCATATTTCTGATGTAGGCTTTATACAAAGTATCTATCGATGTGACCTATGTTCTATGTATGTCTGTCTCTTCGATTTACGCCGAATGGGTTGTTTCATAAGTTATTTCGGTATATATGGTGAGATATAGTACTAAGTTACAGACTACGGAGGCTTGATGATTTAGTTCTTAGTGGCGGTACATAAAGCGGTGTTATGTATATAGGCCGTATAAATCTTTGTTTTCCTGCATGGTATATATATATATCCTTACAGCATGGGGTTTTTCAAGAAGAGGATATTAAGGTTCGTTAAGGGCCGGTAACGCGCACGTGATTCCCCTGGTGTTTCAGGCGTCCATTTACTGTGACCATTTACCATCAGATGCGCCGTATGCTTGTATGCCACCATAGTAGTATAAAAACCATATCTCAAAGATCACTAATTACCATACTACATAGTATTACTGAACTAGTAATTTGTACCGTTTGTAATTTATTTGTTTGAGATTATACAGTTGCAAGTAAAAATACTAAAATATTTTTTATACTACTAGCTTAACATAAGGTTTAGGTGGCAAACGGCTCTGACTATAAACGGTTACAGTAGTGTACACCTGAAATACCGGGGGTATCTTGTGCGCGTTGGCCTACTCTTCTTAAAAACCCCCATGCTGTCGTCTCTCAATTATATGTACATGACTAAATGAAATCCTTTTGTTTCTTGATGATTAGTAATTGTACATAAATCATGTATGTTGTTCTACACTGAAAAAACGATCAAATTAGTCGAGTATTTTTTTTATTTATCTTTATAAAAATTTGCTACTATAAACAAAATTGAGCTAGTTTTGTCAGTAACCATTTTTCAATAAATACTAATTAATAATTTAGTATTAAATTTGAAAGTTCGTTGAAGGTACACATTTATATCTAATTTGGATTTCTTAGTTGCGCCACTGTTTAGGAGGAGGTGTTAAATCTAATCTAGATTCAATATATAATAGCTGGATATCGACATCACCAAGGATAAGAGAGGTTGGTATAGATCGATCAAAAGAAACATTGCAAGTCAGCGAGGTAACGTAACTAGTATCCTTGAAACTATGCCGTATGTACGAGTACATGCGACATAGTAACCTATGTCGCATGTACTCGTACATACGCCATTACCTCATACCTATATTATTACTATGTACCTCAGCTGCGATGTCCGTTAAGATAGTGTTTTTTTTAATAAACTTTTAATAGATTTACATTTATAACCCATCTTTAGGCCCACTTGAATTTGACCTTAGATAAACACCTATGGTCAGACTCAAGTGGCTCAAAAATGCACATCGAAGATTGGTACGGGATGAGTAAGTACAAAATACCATTTATGGGCAGCATCTTTACAGCTTTAATACCTCCAATAGGAGATGGCACTAGAAGTCTAATCTAACTAGATTATCAATAAATTTCTTTGCAAGCATTTCATGTAGTTATGGTAGTTTTTTTCAAAATTGTGTATATATACGTATAGAAACATACAGTAAAATTAAAGAAACTTATCCTTCGAGTCAGTTAAAAAAGCGTTCCTGTAATTTAAATTCATTTCAAAGTAAAATTAAATATAAGTACCAAAGAGTTCAAAGGCTAAAATAGGTTTATTAAATGTTTTAATCTTTTTATGAATAACGGTGTAAATTTGTACATCGCCGGTACACGGAGCACTATAATCGATATCAGCTCGGTCCCGGGTAAATCAGGTCAGTCCGGCTGAGTCGGTGCATGGTTGCAACTCTCAGAACGATGACAACCCTGGTAACAAGTAGGTATTTATACCTAATATAATATTTATATGTAATAATACTTATAGGTGAGTTGAACTATAATTCAGTTGATATTTGCTCTTTATATAAATATCTTGGAGTTTCCCTCAAACCTAAGCATAATAAACAGTTTTTATCCAATTAATAACAAAGAAGAATGTTTTAGGGATGTGTGAATATATCACAGATTAGGATGTATAGGAGTTTGTATAGTGCTTTTTTAGGTACAATGAAATATAATACAAATGTATAGAGTTTAAGTCAATATTATATATATATATGTGGGAATGAGGATTCGCGAATAACAGGATGATTATTTTATAGAACTCCTTTTATTTAAATTACAAAAAAAAACATTTACTATGATACATGAAACGACCTAACTATATGGCAGTCTACGAGGAAGAGAGCGATGCCCATCCTCTTTTTCCGTTCATTCCTTTCTCCATCCATTCACTATTTCGTTTCTATCCATTTGCTCCTCTGTTTCCATTCATTCATACTCATTCGTTCCCATTCGTTCATACCGCCAAGTTTCAAATCCTACAACTCGGCCATCCCGCATTGGAGCCTGACCTCAGGGTCCGTCTTTCACTCTACAATTCTTCTAACACACTCTTTTCATACACACCTACTACACACTAAAGCAAAATATAGAATGAAAATACAACTAAACACCTTAAATTAAAACATGACCCTTCTTATAACATAGTTACACAACTTTAACATATTACACAGTACAAAAAATAATAATAATACACAAAGAAAAAAATACAACTGGTACAGTACCTATACTCCTATAATCAAATACAATATAAACTAAGTACTAAAATAGGTACAATCAAATAATCCTTTATCTTCACCATAAGCTAATACTAATGCCTCACAAGGTCAGCCATCAACTTAATTTGAAAATTACAATAATTTGGTAAGTAAATGAGTTTCAAGAACTAACCTCTGGCCACCTCTTCATATAGTCTGCTGAAGTGGACGTCCTCATAGGTCCCTCAGAAGCAATATCGACCTTCAGTACATCATAGCGGTCTCTGCCATTGACTTTAACAACTTTATAAGGTCCTAAATACCTTTGCTTTAATTTCATATTAGTACCAAATTGGGTTCTCTTGATTACTACATAGTCACCAATATTATGTTTAAGGCTTTCCTTGCGTTTTTTGTTATAATTTCGCCGATTTTCATCTTGTACTTTTAAAATTTGTATCTTAGCCTGTTCTCTCGTTTCTTCTCTATTTGTCACAAATTCGTCTCTACTTTCTTCTAGTAATAAACTAAAAATATTTAAATCCTCTTTTTGTTTCATTTTTACACCCACCATTAACTCATAAGGACTGGTTCCTATACTTCTTTGATAAGTACTATTTAGAGCCCTTTGAACTCTACTCACATGCTTATACCACTGACTTTTATCCTCTATGCACAGTTTCGTTAAGACTGACACCAAAGTACGATGAATCCTTTCTACCTGCCCATTTCCTCTGGGTACTCCAGTGGTGATAACAATATGTTGGATATTCTCATCTTTACAATAGTCATCAAACTCCTTGCTAGTAAAAGCCGTTCCTCTATCTGATATAATTCGATCTGGGTTTCCAAAAGTCTGCTGATGAATAAGTAACTTACTTAATGTCTCCTTAGTAGTAGTTGTCTTCACTGGAAAGAGCCAAACAAATATATTGTAAATGCGCCTACAATTGTTAAAATATAATTATACAATTTTGAAGTCTCTGAGAGTGGTCCTATGTGATCAATATGCAATGTACTAAGTGGGATAATGCCCTTCTCTATGGAATTAAGAAAACCTTCTTGTTTTCCTTCTTTCTTCGTTGCCAACAAACATGGTACGCAGGTTACAAGGAAGTTATCTATTTTAGAAGATAAATCTTTTATATAATAATCTACATTTAACATTTCTAACATCTTTTTCTTGCCAAAATGACCATTCGAGTGAATTGTTTTAATAATTTCCATTTCTAATCCCTTGGGAATAAGTATTTGTCCTTGATTACCCTTGTATATGATTCCATTCTGTTCATAATAATCTTTGTAAGGCCTCTCCTTAATTATATCTGAAATCGCCTTTATACCCTCATCTAGTTCCTGTGCTCTCCTGATTTGATCATGTAACCCTCTGGTAACAACAGTAACATAAGGATTGCGGCTAAGAGCATCAACATGCCGCATCTGATTCCCTTTTCTATGCTCCACCTCATAATCATACTCTTGTAATAACAATACCCATCTTGCAACTCTAGTTGATAAATCCTTCTTTTTTAATGTCATTTCAAATGCTAAGCAATCAGTAACAATCTTAAATTTTATGCCAAGTAAATATTTCCTGAATTTTTTAACACCCTCTATTATGGCTAATGCCTCCAGCTCATAACTTGTGTATTTCTGCTCTGCATCTGAGGTTTTACGACTTAGGTAGTACACAGGGTGTAAACTCCCATCATTAGAATCCTTTTTAATGAAATAATATTGCTGAATAAGCCATGATAGATGCATCTGTATGCAATTCGGTATCGAGTCCTGGGTTATATAATTTTAATACTGGATTTTCAGACAACAACTTCTTTAACAATTTGAATGCAATCTCCTGTTTTTCACTGAAAATAAAATCATTACTCTTCTTTAATAAGTCTGTTAATGGTCGTGCTATAGAAGCATACCCAACAATTATTTTTCTAAAATAGGATGTCAATCCAATGAAACTTTGAATCTGTTTTACCGACTTAGGTTTTAATGGATACTTTAAAACTGCTTCAACTTTGTCTCTACACGGTTTTATTTCTCCATTTTCAATTTCATAACCAAGATATTCCACCTTTTTAGTCAATAAGTCACTTTTTCTCCAATTTATATGTAATCCATATTCAGAAGCTAATTTTAAAACTTCACGAAGTCGATCTATGGCTTCATCATATGTGTTTGATAATATTATTAAGTCGTCAATAAAAATTAATAGAAACCCCTTTGCTATAAGCTCTCTGAAAATAATAGTGATAAAACGTGTGAAATAATTCGACATATGGACAAACCAAAAGGTGCTCTCATAAACTCATATTGACCATTCTGTGTCACAAAAGATGTATACTTTGTACAGTTACTATTTATTTTGAGATGAAAAAAAGCGTCTTTGAGATCCAATTTACTAAAAACCGTGTATCCAGAAAGTTTATCTAAATGATCTTCAATGATTGGTAGAGGAAACTCATCCCTAACAATTTTTTTATTTATTTTACGGTAATCAACACAGACTCTTATACTACCATCTTTTTTTCTAACTAATACTAATGGGCTTGCATACTCTGAAAAGCTAGGTTTAATAATACCATTTTGTAACCACTCACCAATTTGTTTATCAACTGCTTCTTGTTCCTTATAGGCTAGTCTACGCGGCCGCTGTGCCACCGGCACATCGTCGTTCAGGATAATCTGCATTTCAAATGGTGCCTCCTTGGTTTGTAAGGGCTTATATTGATCCACTATAAGCTGAGCTGTCTCCATAATCTGAGGATTTGGTACATAACTAACCGGTTTGTCATCTGTAAACAAACAATGCACATTCCTCGAAACTACATTTACCACACCTTTATCGAAAATAACTACCGCATTTTCCAAAAATGGTTGACCTAGGATCACTTTGTAAGGCATTGCATTTGTTGGTACAATATAAAACAATAATTCAAAATAACAATCATCAATTTTTAGTACTGTTTGAAATTTTCCTATAGAGTAAACAGTCGACAATCCCAGTCCGTGCAACACTATCTTTTCTTTATTATAGGCACTCACATTTATATATAAGTTCGAAAAATACATCTGCCGACACCAGATTTACGTCACTCCCCGAATCAATTAAACATTCGATTATTACGCCATTTATCTCCAATGTTTTGATTGAACTATTTCGCTTCGTATTCATGACGGTTTCAAATTGACAGTTCCCGAGCGAATGACATCTGTCACCACTGTCAACATTGCTGCCACTACGCACGTCGCCATTTTCTATGTTCGCGTCTATGTTCACACCGTTCACACACATTGATCGTCGTTCCGGTCGGTCTTCCGCTCCCGTCGTAGGTGAAGTGATTGAGATGCACTTATTATCATTCCCAATCGTATTTGAATTTCTTTCGACAAATGCAGCTCTGCAGTTCGACGAAATATGGCCGTATGAATGACATTTGTAACACTTAACTCCTTTCGAACATGTTGTCGCAATATGACCATTTTCACCACATTTGTAGCATTTTCTGCTGTCTCTGTAATGTTCTTTCGTTACTATGGGTTTTCTTTCCTTGTAGTTACGTACATCTTTTTCTTCATGGATTCGTATATCACTAATTTTTCTTTTAACGAGGCATAGGTAGTGACCCCGTACAACATGACCTTGTTTATCTCATCATCTATAATACCGTCTGTTATGTACTGAATAACACAATAATCAGGTAACTTGCCGCGCTTGCCCAACTCCTTCATTATTAGCATATATTCATAACAACTTTCGTTTTTTCCTTTTTTCCTGTTGGATAAGATTTCGTGCAGCTCTTTCAAATTTATGCTATCAGGAAACTCCTTCATAATAGCACATTTTAAGTCGTCATAAGTTTTGAATGGTTTCTCCGACTTTAACCATAGTAATGCGTTTCCGGCTAACGATCTCCTCGCCAAAATTAATTGCTGTGTAGCACTCCAACCAAATATTTCCGCGTTCTCTTCTATCTCCTGCGCCCACCTCGCCGCCGTTATAGTCTTATCGGTCCCGTTGAATACCGGTAAAGTTTCAACTGGATGCCACGATGCCTCGCGAAATGCACGTTCCATCTTATTTTCGTCTTTAGACATTCTTTTTGTAATTTAATATAATCTTTAAATACGACGTGTCCACCTCGACATTCGTATTCTTCGTCCGCGTCACCGTCTGTACCGCGCCGCAATTCGGGTACTTCCGTCTTCCATAAAAATCCGTTAACATCCAAGTAATCTTTGATCCTCTATCCCGGGCGAGCCCCAAAATTGTGGGATATGAGGATTCGCGAATAACAGGATGATTATTTTATAGAACTCCTTTTATTTAAATTACAAAAAAAAACATTTACTATGATACATGAAACGACCTAACTATATGGCAGTCTACGAGGAAGAGAGCGATGCCCATCCTCTTTTTCCATTCATTCCTTTCTCCATCCATTCACTCTTTCGTTTCTATCCATTTGCTCCTCTGTTTCCATTCATTCATACTCATTCGTTCCCATTCGTTCATACCGCCAAGTTTCAAATCCTACATATATATATATATATATATATATATATATATATATATATATATATATATATATATATATACTAATAAATAAAAATGCTAGTTTTGTACTATTTACATAGTTTGTACGTCTTTCAACAATAGCTGTAGTTCTTTATTGATTGCTTATGAATATATTACAATATAATTATTTTTCTAATTGGATTGGCTAAAAAGCTGATATACCACATTATCATAAGTGATAACCGTCAGATATATACATACACATCACCAAGATTATCACGTCATCATACTATACCCGTGTTACATTTATTGCCGATTTTGGAGGATATTGCATTATGTTTTCAAGTAATTTCACTGCCATATCTCTCGCCTTTCAACTAAAATACACCTAGATGTAATACCACTTTTAGATGTCATATACTTATATATAATGTCAGTTCATACATAAGGATACGGCCGTAGGATCTGCTATTCTGAATATGGTTTCAAATACCTTCCGGTGCCAACTAGATAAACCTACCTGCTCCAATGCACATTGTGTTGCGAGCTAGTTCTCAATCTTTCAGCGGACGGACTTTGAGATTTATGTCAAAAAGTTTAGTTTTAGTTCGCTGTATTTCCTGTCCCTAATTACATCTCTTAGAGAAATTTAAATAGCAGCTTTTCCAACAGCTCGTTTTGCAACTTTTCTCTTATGAAATAGCTTTGTAAATAGACATCATGTCTCAGTACTTTTAGTATATACTATTTAAATAATTTTATTTTCGACCCTTGAATCATTTTTACTGTGATATATGTTATGGTATTTCTAATATTAAATGTTTGTTTCATTATGTTAATGAAAAACAAAACACTTTACTATGAGTTTCAGATAGCATCAAAAGGTGAGTGTGTTAAGCAGTCAAATGAACATTATTCTAATGTTACAAATTGTTTGATCTGATTTCAGAGTATATAAGTCAAGGAATGTTAAAACATGGTATTTCAAATAAATTTGACGCCTTCGCGCTTTATTTAAGCTTATATAAATGTTCAATTCTTAACTTAAATTGTGTACTAGAATAATTGTAAAATTTGTAAAATCTGAATTATATTTGTTTTTATATAAAGTAACCTAACCCTTTACTTTGATTAATTTATCGTGGTTTTTGTCACTGTATCTTTGTCTTTGATAGTTTGCAATGTAATGGCGTGTTTAGTAAAAAAAAGTTTTGATTAATTTGTCTCTATTCGCCATTGACATACTGATATGCTAATACCGATACTGAGCAAATGACAGAACACGTATTTTAAAAATAGTGTTAAAAGTGACTTTGTGTTTTGGAAGTCATGCCATGCAAATATGTAGATAATATAATAATTCTACTAAAATGTTATGAAAGTCAAATTCAAATATACGATAATTATTCATGATTTATATTTATTTAAACAATAGTTAAACAGAACGTTTTCAAAACCATAGATATTTATTGTCTATGTTATGATGAGGAATGCGTGTATCAATTTAATCTGAACAAAAATAACTTAACGAAATAAATGATACATATTTTAGTATAACTTTATTGCTCATTATATTTGATTAGGATATTATAAAATATAGCGAAATTTGTTAATACCTTTATAAAATATTGGCAACGTAAAAAAAAAAGTCAAAATTCTTGTTAATGTTTACTAGTTTTAATCAAAATTCTTGTTGTACTTCAGCATAATTTTGTTTAACAACGTCACAATTTTACATCAAGGGTGACCACCAGATACATTTTCTTCAGAGAGATTAAATTGAATTACATTAATGTACTACGAATGTATTTGTGAGTGAATTGTAGCCTGGCTTATCACTCTAAAAAACTTCAATTATCGGGAGTACGAATCAAATCGAAACATCAACAATAGTCTATTTGAGTAGGTATCTGAATTCACCTATTAATTTTGTTGTCAGGTTGCGATATTGCAAGCCCTGTTGGCGTGTAGTCGCTTTTGTCCGGCAGATAGCTCTACAATACATATATCTAGACATAGACAGACACTTTATCATACTAGATTGGCACGGGTGATTAAATTTGCGTGTAATATTTAATGAAGATGATCCTGTGTCTAGACCGTAACACACTATAATAAATTTCATTGAAATAATAGTACAAGTCAAGTGTGAAGAAGTGATTTCGGAATGCCAACTGCCAACTCCCAACAGTAAAAGTCTGAATTCACGAAAATACTTTACTTAAGTACATTATGAGATGTCTTCGCCAAAACTGCATGACGTATTTTAATTGATTGTTTTTTTTCAAGCGTCGAATACTATACTCTCTCATCCTACAGACTGCTCTACCCAATAATATGGATTGTACATTCTTTTTAATGGTGACTGTCTGTTATTTTTGTAATCTTTCGAACTAATATGGTATATGTCATTGATCAAATAACTTTTGTTTCGTTTTTGGTTTCAATCGTCGGGTTTATTTCTGTATTAGTACTCTGTCTGGCTTGGAAGTTATTTCAGTAGAAAAATTATTAAAGAAGAGAAGAGACACGGGACTATGATAGAAATTGCTTTCTGACACTATTCAATTATAAGGAACAGTGTTGGTATATCCGTGTATCACACGTTATATATTGAAAGTCTATACTAATAGGTATCTTATCTATGCCAGTAGGTATTTTACAGCTAATAGGTTATTAACCGATAATAAATAGTTAAAAAAAAAAATAGGTGTATTTAATATATAATGTTATTTGATAAACTACAACGGCTTTGAGTATCTTTGCACTTCTTAAAGTAGTACCTAAACCTTTAGAAGTAGAGAATGCATTAAGCCCACCTTTTGTACAAGAATTCAATAAGGATTAAGTAAATATATTTTTGTTTCATGGGAGAAGTAGAACAATAAGGGTTGAGATAGAACAATTTAATATTATGTACTAAGGGTAAAGGAGATACAGGTCATAAAAAATGCTGTTATATGTACAAAAATAGTATTGAATTTCTTGAATTGTTGATTGGAGCTAATGTGGTAAGTATAGCCGTACAACAACAAACTTTCCAACGTAGCATACATTACCTTTTATAAAAAAAAACTGTGGTCGTACGGATGTACAACGTAGCATACATTACTATGTACAAAAATAGTTTGATTTCTTGAAAAAAAGTATAGCTGTGGTCGTACGGATGTACTTCATTAGTTGCAGTGTTAATTCCGTATTGAACAGCGAAAACAATGGGGAACATTTCTTTTCAAACTATTCCAATTTGTGACAGCCGCAGCTGACCTTTACAGCTTTAATGATCGAAAATCTGAGCGATTAAATCCGTCGAAAGGCTTATGCAGTGGCTATAGGTCAACTCCTGTCTGACGGATATGACTTTGATCTGTGGCACTGTAAGAGGTTTAAACCTAGGCTCAGGCTGTCATAATTTCGATTCCCGTTAAAATGGGCCGGTCGGGGATTGATCGGAGTCGTTTCGACAGCAAGTGCCTGCTCTAACACATTGCTCATCATTGGGTAATGTTAGTTTCTGAAT